CGAGGCCCCCACACCGCAACCCATCCTGGCTGGGCCGTCCAGGGGATGTCACGCTCCATCCCTGCTGCCACCGCACAGAGCCGAGGAGGCGGCGGCAGGAGACGGGCAGTGGAGAGCGCGCCCCCGCTAAGCGCGTCGGGTCCTCCTGCCTCCCGCGCCCCTCCACCCTCTCCCTGGGCGATAACATCCAGACACCGCTTAGGCGCGAGGGGATGGGGCCCTTACCCTACGTTGGCCAGGGCTCTCCCACTAAGCACCCAGCCTCCCCCAACCCTGTGTGGGCTGCGGGCCGCCAGGCGGGGAGGGGAGGTGGTGGGCAGGGCCCTTGGTTACAGTCGGAGGGGACATGATTGCTTATCAACCTGGAGGCGACGCCACCACCCGCCCGCTGCGCCCCCGGCCCCAGTGGCTGAACGGCAAAGGGAAATGAGACTCTGCCAGCCTTCGCCTGCACCGGCTTTCTCTGGCCTTGGGGAAAGCATGACTTTCAAAAATCGAGTTTCTTTAAGCACGGTTCCCTTTCTAGACAGCCTCAAGTACCTGTGTGCTGTGAATGAATGTTTGGGGCAGAAAGGAGCTGCCCCCAGGCCAAGCTCCACATCCCCCTGCCTAGCACAGGCTAATGAGGCTGCTGGCCCACCTTTTCCTTCCTGTCCCAACTCCCAAGGACCACCTGATTCTTGCCTGGACCAATAGGCCCACCTCCAACCGTTTCCTCCCCCAGGGACCACCTCTAGGGTTAATCTTCCCTAGCCAGGTCTGATTGGCAGGATACACCCCTGTCCAAGGAACTGTCCCTGCCCACTCACAGACCCTGCCCTCCCTTCTCTCTACTTCAGCAGAAGCAGGATGTGGGAAGCTCCCCTGCCAGCTGCCTTCCCACCCAGAACCCCATGATACAGGGACCCAGCTTGGAGTTGACCCCAGCTGAGTGACCCAGGAAGCCAGCACAGGCTTCCTTTCCTCTCTGGGTGGGGGTTGGCCGGCAGCCAGGGCTCAATAACCACCTAGGGCTGTCAGAGCAAGAAGGGCCTCAGAGACCCTCATGGTGTCTGAGGAAGCTGAGTCCTGACATTACCCCAGGCTGCACCCTGCCTGTCTGCTGGCCCTTTCCTGCCCAGTGGAGTGGGGAGGGGGCCCTGCAGGGCTAGGGCAGCCCACGGGAGGAGCTGAGTCCTTGAGAAAGCACCATGTCCAGCCTTGGATGTAACTCACCACCCCGCTGGGCTACCATAGGACAGGAGGCAGATGCCCTTCCCCATGCAGACTCTCCACCCCCAGCATCACTGACTATTAATTCTGGCTGGAGCTTCTTACATTCCCAGGTGGCCTCCCCCTGCCTCCCTGGCCCCTACCCAGAGCCAGGAGAGGGCTGGAGATGGGCTCCGCTGGCATCTGCATTGTGGGTGCCCCTTACTCCCCTAGTTGTGGGCCCCGAGGAACACTGCTCTGGGAACACTAGAGACTGCACATGTGCTTCAGACTGGCAGGGATGCTCCTCATAGCTGTGGTCTTCCTCCCCTGGCCTCAGGATGTGCACCCTATGATGCCTCCTGGCTATGGCACACCTGCTGGTGGAGGCCGGACACCTGCACCTGATTCAGACCCCACAGTGCTCCCTACTGGCTTTCTATTGGCAGACAAGGACCCAAAGTCCAGAAGGGCTGTGATGGGGTGGCCAGTCCCAGGCTAGGCTGAATTCCAGCTCTGCCCACTAATGCCCTGTTAGCAGACTGGGAGCGGAGGTCAAGCTGGCCCCTGCTTCCTGTGACCACAAGGGCCCTAAAACCAGCCAGGGGAGGGAAGGATGACTGGTCCAGCTGGAGCTTTGGGTGCCCTCAGGTTCCGCTCCCTAGCCCAAAAGGCCCAGATACCTCCTTCCCCAAGAACCCTGGACAGCGGCCTGGCTCTGGCTGGCCACCTGGAGCAGGGGGAGCTGACATTGACCCTGGGGGCTGTCCCCCTGGTGGGAGGCCCCAGCAAGTGGCTGAGCTAGGCAGGCCTCACAAAGCCGAAGGTGCGGACTCCACCAGAGGCTTGGGATAGAGAAGAGTCTGCAGGAGGGCTAATGGGGTCCTGCTTTGTGCCCAGGCCACCCAGAGGACAAGGCCATCCCTCCTGGACACACAGGCCATGTGGGGCTCCCAGGAGCTGCCTCTAGTGTGGTTTCTGGTGCTGGTTGTGGGTGCCACGGAGCATGTCTACCGGCCCAGGTGAGCCAGGGCTTGGGCCTCGGGGTGCTGGGGTGGGAGCCAAGAGCCCTCAGATCCTCCCCAAGGCAGCCTCCAAATCTCAAGGGGATTCCCTGTGGGCTCTCATGGGCCCGGGGCTGGGTGGCTCCTGGCTGTGGGACCTTCTTCTGACCCTCTGCCTGCCCTGCCACAGCCGCAGGGTATGTGCAGTGGGAGTTGCCAGGGGCCCCATCTCCGAGTCCTTCGTGCAGCGTGTGTACCAACCGCTCCTCACCACTTGCGATGGGCACCGAGCCTGCAGCACCTACCGGTAAGTGTCCTCAGGACCCCAGGACCAAGCCTCCAAGGTACCTATCCACCACCTGGCTCAAGAGGGACCTGACCCGAGATGACAAGCCAAAGCCAAGGCAGTAGGTCTCAGTTGTCTGAGTCCGAGGACATCACTTCCCAGGGAATCCCCTGTTTTTCCAGGGGCTGTCCACCCATCTGTACCCTTAGCTTCCAGGGTGCTCAGCCCGCCTGCCCACCCTTGACACCATTGGCTAAAGCTTTCTGTGACTTGGGGTGGCAACTGTCTCAGTCCCTCTGGCTGTACCCAGGGCTCCAGTGATCATCCTCCTCACGACAGTCCCTGAGGGTGTGGATGGAGGCCCCCAGGCCCCTCTACACCCGTCAGGTTAACACACCAGCCTTGGGGTCCTGCGGCTCAGGACTCAGCTGCAGGCAGGGTCCTTGTTCCTGAGTTTAGGGAGCTTAGCCTGCCCCATCCAGAAATCTTGGGAAAGGGTGGGAAGGAACAGGATAGTTTGTGAGCTCCCCACTAGGGGTAGGAGGCCAGGACTCCAGAACCAGGGGCTCCTGATCCCCAGAGGTAGAAGATGACAACCCCAGGTGCCAGACCCCAGGGAAATGAAGAAGGCCAAGGTTAAGCTGGTTCTGCCAGTGACCAGCTGCAGGACCAGGTAGGCCTGCCCCTCTGTCTAGATGCCCTCATCACAGGCTCGGGATGAAGAGGCAGTCACGGGCCTGGCACTGTCCCTGCTCTGTGCCAGGCACAGCTAGGGCTTCTTCAACACTGGAGCAGCCACCTAGGGAAATCCTATGCAGTGACTCTGAATTGACATCCCTGGGGAGAGGACCTCTGAGGACACCTGGGAGTGACCCTGTTCTGGTGCTCAGAAGCTGGCAGACCAAGTGGGCAGGGTAAAGCCAGGCTGGGCCACCCAGTTATCAGCCCCTCTGAGCAGTCCCCACCCCTACAGCACTATCTACAGGACCGCCTATCGCCGCAGCCCTGCCCGGCCGCAATTCGCCTGCTGCCCTGGCTGGAAGAGGACCAGTGGGCTCCCTGGGGCCTGCGGAGCAGGTGAGGGAGGGCAGCAGGTCCCGGGACACTGCCGTCCCCAGGTACTGCCACCCCGGGGGGCCCTGGAGGGGGTACCTGGCATCAGGATTCCCGCTACCAGGTGACCAGCAGGGCACCCCTTGCTGCAGAGCGCCCCCTTCCCTGGCTGCTGACGCAGGGCCCTGTCACCCTACACTGGTGACAGGCCTCCCCTACCCACAGCAATATGCCAGCCACCGTGTGGGAACGGAGGGAGCTGTGTCCATCCAGGCCACTGCCACTGCCCTGCAGGGTGGCAGGGTGACACCTGCCAGACAGGTAAGGTTGGCTGTGCCTCCATGAGGGGCTGGGGAGGTCCTCTGCGGGCACCGCTGACCCCTGTTTCCTAGATGTGGACGAGTGCAGCACTGGAGGAGCCGGCTGTCCCCAGCGTTGTGTCAACACTGCAGGCAGCTACTGGTGCCAGTGCTGGGAGGGGCACGGCCCGTCTGCAGATGGCACACTCTGCCTGCCCAAGGGAGGGCCCCCCAGGGTGGCCCCAGGTCCCACAACAGGTGAGCTCACCCCTCCACCCTTACTGCTGGGCCTGGCCTGGGGCAGTGGGCAGGTGGGTGGGCATCACCCTAGGTACACTGAGGGCAGTCAGCCCTGGCCTGGGTCAGCATCACACAGAGAGGACTGAGCCCAGGTGGCTGGGCTGCTGGGCAGTTCTGTGGGTGGAAGGAGCAGGAGGCCCTGCCCCCAGGGTTCCCAGAAGGCACTGAGGGGAGGTTTCCCTGAGGCCTCGCCTCAGCCAAGAGACGCAAGCACCAGCAACCCGGAGAATCACCGTGCCTCCGCTGGTGACGGGGCATTATTACTTTTGGTACGCGCTGTGACACTTCAAACTCGTACCGTGAGTAATAATGCGCCGTCTGCAGCCCCGCACCAGAAGCACCTCGGACCCCGGGTCAGCACAGCAAGCCTGGCCCTGCACCAAGGGGCAGGGTGGGGGCTGGACGTGCCAGGCGGTCCTCAGGATCAGAGGCCAGCCTCAGGATTGGGTGGGGTGGGGTGGGGACCATCCTCTTGACCACACCTGGATCTGCCTGCAGGAGTGGACAGCATGGTGAGAGAGGAGGTGCATCAGCTACAGTCCCGGGTGGACATGCTGGAGCAGGTGAGGACTGGGGGGGCCACAGACCCCCCTGGCCTCCCAGGACATGGCTCTCCCTGAGGGATGGTTGTGAGGCTCCATGGGGTAGCCCAAAGGCCCCCATTTCCTTCTTCCAGAAGTTCAGGGGCTCTTTGGGCAGGGGCAGTGGGACATTGGCTGGGACTCCTGGCCAGGAGGAGCTGAGTTTGGATACCCCTCCCCAGGCCATGCTTGGAGTGGGAGCCCAGACCCAGAGCCCACCTCCACTTGCCATAGCAGGTCAAGCTTTTTCTGGCCTTCCCACAAAGCCATGGGCTCAGAGACCCTTCTCGTTCCTCTACCGAAACTTAAAACCTTAGGACCAGGTGCCCAGGCCTTGGCCTGTCTGATGTCCTTCAGACCCACCCAGCTTCTCGGCCCTTCAAGCAGCAGCTCCCTCTAGTGGCGAGAAGAGCCCTGTTGCCAGAGCTGGGGGCCGGCACTGCCCAGCCCTGTCCAGCCTGCCCAGCCCTCACTGGTTCTCCTTAAGTCTTATGCAAGCGCAGGAGGGGCTGGCCCTGGGTCGTCAGCCTCTTGCATCTCCACAGAAGCTGCAGCTGGTGCTCGCCCCCCTGCACAGCCTGGCCTCGCGGGCCGTGGAACAGGGACTCCAGGACCCTGGCCGCCTTCTGGCCCACTCACTGCAGCAGCTGGACCGCATTGACTCACTGAGCGAGCAGATATCCTTCCTGGAGGAGCAGCTGGGGTCTTGTGAGTGCCTCAGCCACCTGCCCTGGAAGCTTGGGAACCATCTTGGGCCAGTGTGGCCACCATGGGGACAGGCAGGTCTGACTATTGACACAGCCCCCTCTTCTGCCTCTAGGCTCGTGCAAGAAGGAGCTGTGAGGAGCCTTCCGCACTGCAGGCTGCACTGACCCACCCCAGCTCCCCTACCTCTAGTCCCCTAGCTGGGCCTGATGCCATTCCTGGTGATGGCTGTGGGCAGGCTGGGAAGGGCCCTTTCTTTGTCCCACTGCCTTAGAAGGCTCCCAGGGAGGACTTGGGTGTGGGGTGAGGTCCTCTGCATGATCGCCCTCCCACCATGGCTGGATTTTCCAGGGCTTGGTGGGTCAGAGGCCAGGGAAGGTACGGGGGCTGCATGCCCAGGGCTGGGGACCACTGGGGCTCACTGGGCAGTCTGCCTGGCCAGGGCAGAGGCCTGTCTCATGTCTGCCAGAATAAAATCAAGACTTGAGCTGCTGTCCATGGATGGTTTGGGGTAGGAGGAAGGTGCTGCCCTGCTCAGACCCTCTGCCATGGTGGGGTTCAGGGAAGGCACTCCAGTCCCACCACACCAGGTTCCCGGTGCTGTCAGGGCTGAGGCAGGTGGCCGTGAGCTTCCTGAGGTCATGATTGCCACGTAAGCTCAGCTGGTGCTTCCCCACTGCACAGCTGGCCTCTGTCCCCTGTCTCTAGGCAGTCAGTCACCCTGGCCCCTCGACCCCACACAGCCATGAGGCAGGCACTGTGGGTGACGGTAGCCCACCCTGCTGGGGCTGGAGGCCTTCTCACTGGACCCTGGGAGGGTGGCTAGCCCAGCAGTTTGGGCAGGGGGCAGCACAGGTAACTTGGAAGATTGCCCCTGGACAGAGACCTGGGAAGCCCCTGCACATCCTCTAAATGACCACAGCTCAACAATTACTTCCAAGAGTTCATTTATAAAAAAGAACTGAGTACAACACTGACCCACAGACATCCTTGAAACCGGTGGGAGCTGCAGACCCTGCCCTCCAGCTCCCTGTGGCCCAGGCTGGGTGAAACCAGGCAGTCCCAGCCCCCAAGCCTCTTCTCTCCCTGAAGGCCTGATGCAGGCCATGGCCTGGACCCCTGAGCCTGACTCTGCAGCCTGTGGGCCCTGCAGGTATACCAGGACCTGGGCCAGGGCAGGGGTGGCCTCAGTCTGGATATCCCAGGGGCTCTCAGTTTCCCCGGAAGGCTTGGGGCTAAGCCTGCCTGAGGCCATATACCAGATCCTGGGGGCACAGGCATGAGGCTCCTCCCAGCTCACTCCTGGAAGAGACATCAGGGGCCTTCATCTGAAGCCAGTGACAAAGGGCTTCCTGCTTCCAGGGTCCAAGTGAGAGCCGGGAGCCGGGGAGCCAGACACGTGATATTTGGCAGCCTGGGAGGGGGTGTCCCTCTGTCCATTCCTAGTCTTCTGCCTCCCGCCTGCCCTGCCCCAGGTCCCCCACCCCATGGCCAGGGCTACTGGGCTGGCTGGACAGCAGGTCCCTCAATGGCCCCATTCTCCTGGGGAGTCCTGGACAAGTGGAAGAAGGTGCTCCTCATGGCGTGGTAGCAAGTGTCCATGAGCTTGGGAACGTCAGCCACGGTGAGGCCACTGGTGGGAACGGCATCCAGCACCTGGACCTTGATTGTCCCTGGGGTGGACAGTGGTATCAGCAGCTGGGGGCCACCCTGATGCTGCCCCAGCCTTGCCCCCACCGGCCACCCTGTCCTGAGCCTGAGCCTTGAGACCTGGACCTGGAGGGCTGGGCCACCCAGCTCCTGGCCATTGTGGGCTTGTCCTGAGGAATGCTGACCAATAAAGCTGCTCCCAAGTGTGCACCCGGTGCTTGCCATGGTCTCCCCCACCCAGTGACTACCAACGGCCACACAGGACACTCCCACCCCAGAAAGCCCCCTCTGCCCCTCCTGGCCAGCCCCCACTGCACCCCGACATCTGTCCTCAGCAGTTTGGGCTGTGGGGAGATGGAGTTTGGCTCCTCCCCTACTGCCTTCAACCTCTGACCCCCCCAGATAAGCAAGAGTGGCATCAGGGCCCCCGCCTGAAGCCAGCACTGCTGGACAGGCCAGCTCTGTGGCCAGTGGTGGTTCCCTGGGCTGCCCATGTAGCTGGACGGTCAGGGTCTACCTCCACAGTCCCACCTGCAAGCACGCTTGGGCCCTTCCACCCTTCTGGAGCCTTAGTTTCCTCATCTGAAAACAGATCCTCTACAGCCCCCTTGCAGGGCCACAGGCCCAGGGTGAGGTCACTCCACCGAGCAGCCACCAGGAACGGGGCCCTAGGTATGAGGCTGGCAGGGGCTCACCTGAGGTGAAGAGCTTGGTCTTGAGGTTGTAGAAGGAAGAGAAGGAGGAGTACACCACAGGAACAATGGGCACCTGCCACAGGGACACGCCAGGCTGAGCGGGCATGTCCCGCCTGTCCCCCAACTCAGGAGGCCAGTGCAGCACTACCCAGGGGAGGGGCTGGTGTCTCCTGACATCCCTCGAAGGCCCCAGGGTCAGAGCCACCAGTGACAGGTGGCACCTGGGGATGATCATTAACCCAGACTGTCATGGGACCTCGGGACATGGGCAGGCAGACCGCAGAGGAGCAGGCCCTGGGGAGATGGGTGACTGGGAAATCTCTCTTCTCCCAGGCCTTGCCAGTCTAGCCCCGACCCCACAGCCACTGGCAAGGTAGAAATGACTCCAGCCCCAGGCCCAGGCAGGAGTGTCTTCCACCCCTTGGCTAGAGGCTCGGGCCAGAGAGCAGGGTGGCTGCAGGCATGAGGCTCCTAGTCCTGGGAGCCTCAGGACTAGGCACCAGGGCACTGGAGGCCACCCACCATAGGGGCAGAGAAGAGAATACGTCTACTGAGCTGTGACCAGTCCAGCGTTCAGAAGACCCTTTCCTTGACCCTGGACAGTACAGTGGCTTCCCCCCAACATGAGTCTCCCCAGCATAGAGCAGGAGCTAGTGGGCCCCCTTCACCCTCCAGGAGACCCCTCTCCATGGTGGATACCCCCTGGGCTCCCACAACACCTCTGGGCCACATTACTGCCCCTGAAGGCTGAGGACCATGAGGCCACGACCCATGCCCGTGTGCTCTGTAGCCTGCCGTCCCGGCCAGCCCACTCCCTGGAGGAGTGCTCAGCACAAGCCAGCACAGACAGGGCCCAGCAAGCAGGCCTGGCTCCTCGCCTTGGTCCCTGCTTCTCAAAGCCCCCTACTGAGGCAGGCCACTGGCTCTCAGGTGCTGCCGGGGGCAGCCAGTTGCCTGGGCTGGAAGGAGTACTGCCCAGTGGTGGAGGGCCCAAGGGCGCCCACCTCAGCATGTGGTGATGAGGTCCTGTCCCTGCCCACTGCAAGGGATCCCTGAGCCCCAGCAGTCACCTTCAGCCTTGAGCCACCCTGACCTGGGCTCCCACCTACCTGGGCCTGCACTGCCAAGTGAAAGGCACCTTTCTTGAAGGGCAGCAGGTCCCCGTTGTCATTGCGTGTGCCCTCGGGGTAGATCCACACTTTGAGCTGTGGGGAGAGAGGAGCCGACTGTGTCCCGGGCTGTCCACTGCCACCTGGGCCACCCCAGGGAGGCCATGCTGCCCCTCCCAGGACCACGCAGCATGGAGTGGGTCCTGAGCGCCCTGTGCAACCTGCAGACTCTCTGCCAACAGCCACACTGCGGCCCACACTCACATTCTCCTCGACCATGCGCTCGCCCAGGTCGGCCATCACAGTCAGGGCAGTGCTGGAGCGCTGCCGGTTGATGAAGAAGACGCCCCCGAGGTACATGATCAGGCCCACTGGCCCTAGGAACAGGAGCTCCCGCTTGGCGATCTGCACACAGCGCTTGGGGAGGATCTCCATGAGGCCTGCCGGCAGCAGGGGACAACCAAGGAGGGGCAGAGGGAGACCAGAACCATGAGAGAGAGGGGCAGAGACAGGCGGAAGAGACGGGGAGAAGAGAGATAGAGGCAGAAGACAGGAGATGGAGAGACAGGGAGAGACAGAGACAGAACACACAGAGTGACAGAGGCAGAGACATGGGGGAGAGACAGAGACAGGACAGTATCATCCCAATTGGACCCCTCACCAGGGAAGAGAGAGGTGACCCCCTGCTCCCCACTGCCCACCTGGCACTCCATCTGGTCTTTGGCCTGACCATCTTTTGGGGAGGTACCCGAACAAGCTCCCAGCCTGGGTTGCGGTATAGCCCTGTGCCCAGTATCAGACACAGGCAGCCGGTTGCTTTTACTGTCCAGCCTAAGGGAAGCCAGTGGCTGGAAGGACATCCAGGACCCCTTCCTGTGTCTGCCCAGCACCTGGCTTACCTGCCCACCCCCCCAGGAGTAGAGCACGCATGCCTTTGGTGGCCTACCCATCATGTCCAGGATGCTCTGGTGGTTGGAGATGATGACACAGGGCCGGTCCACCTCCAGGTTCTCCCGGCCCTTGATGTCAAAACGAAGGCCGTAGGCATACTTAAAGGACCGTACAAACCAGCTGATGATTCTGTGGACAGAGGCAGCAATGAGCAGAGGTCAGTGGCCAGGGGCGTGGCCTAAGGCCTAGGGAAGGAGTGGGGGCCAGGTAGGGAAAAGATGCTGTCCAGGGCCCAGCCTGCCTCTGCCACAGCAGCAGACGGCAAGACAAAGGGTTCAGGAGTCAGGCACTGGATCCTGGGGCTGGAGGGGCTGCTGGCCTCCCCTGCACCATGCTTGCTCAGCCCTCCCAAAGGAGCGTGCCTGGCAGGCAGGTGGGGACCACCCAGGAGTGGGTGAGGCTAATGATGGACAAGATGGGGCGAGAGGGGTCCCAGCATCCTGCAGAGGCCTGGCCTCCCAGGGGACATCTCAAGTCTCCTGTATCCAGTCCTGTCACCCAGAGACTGTGTCCACAGTGCTGACCAGGCCAGAGGGATGTGGGGTTAGGGGTGGCCTTGGCCTGGCTTTGCACACATCTGGGACAGGACAGGACAGGAAATTGCCAGTCAGGAAGTTAGCCCATGAGGAGACAGAGCCCAAAGGCACAGGCTCACCCCACAGCCCCCAGCAGAGAGCCTGATCCTTCCCAGCCCTGTGGACAGCAGGTGTCAGGGGATGTGCCACCCAATGACCTGGGGGCTATGGCCCCACACCCTCCGCTGTCCAGGCAGATGAGTGCAGCCCTGTCATGTGATCCCCCAGTCCCAAGGGGAAGAGGGACCCCATCCACAGGTCAGTGAAGTAGCTCCCCAGGCTCCGAGCGCAGGCTCACAGCAGAGCAGAGGCATCGGCCAGGGCCCACTCCAACCATGGCAAAAGACACCATCACATACAGGGCCCTGACCCTTCTCAGGGGCCCACCTCTGCTCATCAGGCAGGCTCACCCTGCTCTGCTGCCCTCGCCACGTCCATGCACAGAACACCCACCTTCCTGCACAGACTGCCCCGCTGCCCAAGCCCTGGAAACTGCCTTTGCCCTGTCTCCACAGCTGAATCTGAGACCTGGCAGAAGTGGACTCCCACAGCACAGGTCCTTCTGTGACCAAAGTCCAAGCTCTTGACCGGCTGTCCTGCCACAAGGCTGACTCCAGGGAGGGGCAGCTCTCCTGGTGAGGAAGCTGCCACTCACGGAGGCTCAGGGTTTAATTGGGGTAACTAAGCCAGCACTGTTCCCAGGTCCAAGAAGCCTGTGCCTGTTCCTCAGATCTGCTGGGCCATCTCCTCTCTAGGACAGACCTGCCCGCCATCCCCAGCCTTGGCGGGTATGGGCTGGTCCTGGATCCTGGACACTGGTAGGGAGAACTGGCTGGCTCTTTGGGGTCCATGCCATTTTCTCACTTGTAAAACACAGCTCCTGGGAGTAAGTGAGGATTGAAGACACACTCAGACAACTCGCAAGAAAACTAAAAAGGCCAATGTCCAATACCTATGGAAAGCAGCTCACTCACTAGTTATCAAAGAAAGTCAAACTGAAACGGGAACCTGTCTTCACTCTTCACATTGTCACAGATAGGGCGGGACTGAAACTGAAAGCAGGAGGTGTGGCTAGAGCTGGGGAAAGAGGCGCTGACCAGAGCATCTGTGGGGAGGGCAGTACCAGAAGCCCTGAGCTCCTGGTCTCCTTGGCCCTGAGTGGCTCTGCCAGGAGTTCTCCCCATGGCAGCAGAGGGCTGAATGCTGAACTGGGGAAACAAAAATGCCCACAGGGCACCTGGAAGGCCAGGCAGAAGGGCTCTAGGCCTATCTCTCAGCTACCAAAGCAGAGGAAATGGCCACTGAGATCCCTTTACTGCAGAGGGCATTCATATGACTTTTGTTCTTGGTGCTGGGAGTGGAACCCAGGGACTTGGTGCTAGGCAAGGGCTCTGCACTGAGCCATATCCCAGCCCAGAACTCACAGGGTTCACATGGATTGAGCATTCCTGACCCTAAATTCCAAATGCTCCAAACTCCTGAAGATTTTGGACATGACCACACAAGTACAAAATGCCATACCTGACCTCATGCAAGAGGCAGTAGTCAAAAGAGAGGTGCACTGGCAACACTGGCAATACCCACAGAATTACGTCCAGGTGTATAAGATGCCCACGGAACACACATGACCTGTGTCTAGACTTGGGTACCCACGATATGTCATTATATATGTGTAAACTTTCCCAAGTTCAAAGCCATCCGAAACCTGAAAAACTTCTAGTCCCAAGCACTTTAGATAAAGAATCTTCAACCTTACTACAAATATCGGCACTTCCACTTGTGGCCGCATGAGGGAGTCTCGGGCCACATGGAGAAAGGGACTGTGGTCCTCCGGCAGTGGGGTATTCCCTGATTTCCATGCCCCTCTTCTTTTCTCTTGCTCTCTCTTTCCAGTACGGGGATGGAAGAAACCAGGCTCTCATGCATGCTAGGCACCTGCCCTACTTCTGAGCTCTACCCCAGCCCCCATTTTCTTAACTGCAGTAAAACAGAAGGCAAACTGTACCATCCTGGGCTGGGGTCACCTGAAGTCCAAGGGTTGTGCCCCGTGCCCAGCCCAGTGCTCCAGAATTACTGCTGCCAGCTGCCAGGTGGGACTTGGGGTCTGGGGCAATGGCCTTGACCTCCTGGGTTTCTGCTACCACCTGGGAAAGGGGAAGGATGCAGAGGAGTGCCACTCCAGGAGGCTGGGTGGCTGGTGACCCTGGACTGAGGACCAATGGCGGCTGTGACAGGACTCAGCAAGAAAGAACCCACAGTAACTCAGAGCAAAGGGTGCCACGACCTGCCCAGCCCCTCCTGCCAGCACCTGCTCCAGCAGCAGGAGGCAGTTCAAGGCCAGAGACCAGGCCACCGGCCTGGCTGTCCTCGTGGACGGCCACCAACTGACCCTTGCCCTCAGCTGCTGGGCTTGGGTTGGGCTGCTCCCTGGAGACCCAGGCACACTCTTTGGGCAAGACTGGCCAGAAGTCTAAGAGGACCTGGGAGGGCTCACTCAGAGCAGCCCTGCTGGCAAAGAGCAGGCAGGACCACTGATGGCCAGAGTACAGGAGGCCTGAGCAAGGCCCCTGAGAGACCAGGGAGCTTTCCAACCAGTGTCCCAGAAAGGGAGCACCAGGGGGAAGGGCTTCCGGTCTGAGCAATGGGGGTGGGTGGGGCCTGAGGAGAAAGGGCTGGGGGAGGTGGGACCAGGGAGCCAGGCTTCCCTGAAACCCTCCTCCTTTGGGACCAGGACCCAGCGAGGCACTGTGTCCTGTCCATGCATCTGTCCCAGGATCCAGGGCCCAGCAACGCCTTTCTCCACTCCCTAGGTGCATAGGTGCAGGGGACAAGTTGCTGTGCAGCCATGTCCTGGCCACTTGGTGCAAAAAGAAGTTCTGCTGGCGCCTTCCTCTCCCACCACCACGGTGGCATCTGGGACCCTAAGGATGGTGGGGCCAAGGGTGGGGCCCCCAAAGGAATTTGGGGCCAAGAAAGTAACCTTCCCTGTTGGCTGAACCTGTCCCCAGGGCCTCCTGAGGTGGGGCTTCAGGGACCACAATGTCCCCCATCCTCAGGGCCTCCTGAGGACAGGTTCAGCCAACACAGAGCTTCACTTCCTGCGTGTGTGGGTGTAACTGAGGCATCTCCCAGCCACCCTGCCCTAGCGCCCTAGGAACACACAGGGAAGGACTCTGTGGGCACCTGCCTGGAACCCGGAGGAAGGGCCCATGCCTGGGCCACTGCCCAGGAGAAGTGGAAAGGGAGTAGAGAGGCAGCCCTGCTCTCCCTCTCCAGTTCAGGACTCCCCAGGCATCAGCCTCCAGCTCCTAGCGCTGGGGTGGACACAGAGGGAAAGCCAAGAGCACTTTGGAGCCACTGCCTGTGGGTTCAAACCCCAGCGGTGTCTCACCCTGGCTCTGAGACCCTGGACACTCACCTTTCCTCCTCCCATCTCACTGCCAAGCCTCTGAACCTCGGTTTCTTCATCATGACAGTCCCTACTTCAAAGCTGCAAGGCACTGCAGCACACAGGAGGGCCCTTTCCCCTGAGTCTCCACCTCCCATGCTCCTGGCTCCCTTCCCTGACCAGCCACCCAGGGACTGCACCCCTCGTTCCCTGCTTTTCAACCCACCCTGTGCCTGCCCCTAGAGGCCTTCCCGTTCACAGCACCCACTCTTCCTCACTGCTGGGAGTCGTCACAGGGATTCCGGGAGTCTGGTGCAGAAGGCAGGGCTGTGGGCTCCAGGGCCTCCAGCCCTGCCCCACCCTCCAGTCCTCCCTTCCCTAGGGAACCCATGTGTGGGCAGAAACAAACACCTGTGTTACCCAGCAGTGTCCCAGAGGCAGTGGGCCCTTTACCTGGGTGCCAACCAGGAGAGCCTCTAGGGACCTGAGGGTTCTAGCTGGCCAGACTCTCTGGCCCCTGGCTGTGCAGGCAGGGTAGAAGGTGGGACAGTGCTGGTCTGGCCAGCCTGCTGGGTTCATCCACCCTCAGAGAGGGTAGCTGGTGACTGGATTTGGCCCCTGGGCAGGAACAGACCTGGAAGAGCCCGCCAGGCCTCTCCAGACTAGGACATGCTGGTGGAGAGGACACCAAAGAGCTACAAAAGTTCCAGGGACTCCCACTTCATATTTGCTGAAATCATAGAGCCCAGCCCTGGGCCCAGGACACCTACAGCCTCAGAACCCTCTGCTGGCCCGGCCTAAGAAGGATATCACCCCCCAAGGAGCATATCTGCCGGGTACTTTCCAGACCCAGTGGGTCCTTCTTGAAGTCCACACCCTCCACTTTGCTCTGAAGTGCCCAGGGACTTAGGGAGCCTCCCCCAAGGGAACCCCTTTTATCTCCCAGGCAGTTTCCAGCCTGCAGGGGAGCTGGGCCTTGCACATCAGGCCTTCAGTGATTCGTGCATGGCCTAGGGTTATCTGTCCTGAGGGCACGGGACCTAAGAACTACCTATTAGAAGGGAAATGCCTGGGCTGCCCCTGGGGTCTGCTCCCCTGGACACTGGTAGGAGGGGAGATGGGTCGTTCCAAAACACCCTGCTCTGCTCCTCAAATACACTCTCTAT